ACTAGAAGATTTAAGCCAGAGCATTTAAACAAGGAAAAGAAATAAAAGGCATCCAAATTGGAAAGAAAGAAATTAAGTGAGACACCGATAAATGGAAAGATATCTCTTTTGCATGGATTTAAAGACTTAATACTGTTAAACTGTCCATACTACACAATGTGATGTAAGGATTCAATGTAAACCCTGTTGAAACCCAAATGACATATTATGCAGAAATGGGAAAATTTATCCTGATTCCATATAGAATCTCGAGAGACCCAAAGTAGCCAAAATAATCTTGAAAATGAACAAAGGTGCAGGTCTCACACTTCCTAATTTAAAAACTTACTACAAACCTACACTAATCAAAATAGTGTAATAATGGTATAAAGACAGACATGAAGACCAATGGCACAGAGGAGAGAGCCGAGAAACAAACCTTTAAATATATAGCCAAATGGTTTTTGACAATGGTGCCAATAGTATTCGATGGGGAAAAAGAATCTTTTCAAGAAATGCTGATAGGAAAACTTGATATTCACATACAAAAGAATAAAGCTGGATCTTCAGTCCATATACAACAAATAACTCAAATGGATCAAAGGCCTAAAAATAAAGGCTAAACTTTAAAACTCTAAGAAGCATACATAGATGAAAATCTTCACGAAACTGGATTTGGCAATGATTTCTTGGATATGACACCAAAAGTACAGTTAACAAGAAAAAATAGATAAATTGAACATAATCAAAATTAAAAGTGTATGTGCATCAAAAGACATTGTCAACATGGTGAAAACAAAACTCACAGAATGGGAGAAACTATTTGCAAATCATATATCTGACATGGGATTTATTTCTGAAATATATAAGAAAATTCTTATAACTCAATAACAAAAAGTCAAAACACCCTAACCAAAAACAATGTGCAAAGGACTCAAATACACATTCCTCTATAAAAAATACGCAAATGGCCAACAGCATCTGGTAAGAAGCTCAACATCACTAATCATTAGAAAAATGCAAATCACAATCACAGTGAGACACCATTTCAAACCCAAACAAACAAAAAACAGAAAATAAAAATGTTGGTAAGAATGTGCAGAAATAATATCCCTTTTGCTTATTTGGTGGGAATAAAAAATGCCGCAACCACTATGGAAAACAGCATTGAAGTTCCTCAAGAAATTAAAACTTGAATTACCATATATACAGAAATTAAATGTCTGGGTATACAATAAAAGACTTGAAAGCACTGTTTTGAATAGGTATTTGTACACCTATATTCATAGCAGTATTTTTCACAGTAGCCAAAAGGTGAAAGCAACCCAAATGCCCACTGATGAATGAACAGACAAAGAAAAAGCAGTACACACACACACACACACACACACACACACTGCATTATTATTTAGCCTTAAAAAGGAAGGGACATTCTGACATATGCTACTATATAGATAAACTTTGAAAAATTATTTTAAGTGAGTTATGCCAGTCAAAATATGAGAAATATTTATGTTTCTACTTTTATGAGGTATCAATAGTAGTCAAATTTACAAAAACAGAACATACGTAGAATGGTGGTTGCCAGTGGCTGGGAGGAGATAAAAATGGAGATTTATTGCTTAATGGGTAAAGAGTTTTAGTTGGAACAGATGAAAAATGTTCTAGAGGTGGTTGATGGTAATGTTTGCATGAAAATGTAAATATATTTAATGTCAATAAACTTGGTTGAAATAGAAAATTGGTTTAAATAGAAAATTTCTTGTTATGTATTTTTTACAACAATAAAAATGTATCATTAAGAGGTGATTGATTATTATTTATGCTAACTATGGAGAGAACTAATGTGGATAATTTCAGTGTCAAATACATTTGGTTATAATACATTATACATTTGAGGCAGTGATTGACCTTATTGATGGTTTGCATAATCTTAAAAAAATAAGTTCACATCTCTTAAGAACTGATCTCAAAAGAACCATTCCAGATATACATTGAGTAGTAGGGGACAATTAGAATTAATTTATTTTTAAAAATTGCCACAGTTCAGATATTCCCTGTAAGAAACTATTAACTTTAATTATCAATTATAATTCAGTAGTATGCTTCTCAGAAGAAAAATATAGGTTGGTGCAAAAGTAATTGCAGTTTTAGCATTGTTAACATTTGCCCTTTAATATTGGAATACATTCTTAAATAAATGTGGTTATGCTATACATCATTTTAATGTGCATTTGTCACTTTATGTTCTTTTGCTAATGACTTATTACTTTCTGTTTATTTGATATTTATTTTAGACTATAGAAATAATGTTAGACATGAAGTAAATTTGAGTGATTTTCTTTTTATTTTAATATTTTAAATTTCAGCATTTTATGGGGGTACAAATGTTTCTGTTAGATATATTGTCTTTGCCTCATATGAGTCAGAGCTTCAAGCATGTCCATCCTGCAGATGGTGCACACTGCACACATTAGGTGTGAATATACCCATCCCCTCCTCCCCCTCCCCCCTGCCCGACCCCCAATGAATGTTACTACCATAAGTGCACTTAAGTGTCAGTCAGTTAAGTAAGTTAATACCAATTTGATGATGAATACATATGGTGCTTGTTTTTTTGAGTTTAAAATGGGCCATAAAGCAGCAGAGACAACTCACATCATCAACAACGCATTTGGAATTGCTAACAAACCGTATAGTGCAGTGGTGGTTCAAGAAGTTTTGCAAAGGAGACGAGAGCTTTGAAGATGAGGAGCACAGTTGCCAACCATAGGGAGTTGACAACGACCAATTGAGAGCAATCATAGAAGCTAATCTTACAAGTATAGGAAAGGTTGCTGAAGAACTTAACGTCGACCATTGTATGTTCCTATGGTAGTTTGACATTTGAAGCAAATTGGAAAGGTGAAAAAGCTCACTAACTGGGTGCCTCAAGAGCTTACCAAAAATCAAAAAAATTGACGTTTTGAAGTGTTGTCTTCTCTTATTGTACGCAACAACAACAAACCATTTCTCGATGAGATTGTGATGTATGAGGAAAAGTGGATTTTATATGACAACCGACAATGACCAGGTCAGTGGTTGGTCAGAGAAGAAGCTCCAAAACACTTTCCAAAGCCAAACTTGTATCAAAAAAAGGTCATGGTCACTATTTGGTGGTCTGCTGTCAGCCTGATACACTACAGCTTTCTGAATCCCAGCAAAATCATTATATCTGAGAACTATGCTCAGCAAATCGATGATATGCACTTAAAACTGCAATGCCTGCAGCTGGCATTGGTCAAGAAAGGGCCCAATTCTTCTCAGTGACAACACCTGACTGCACATCCCACAACCAGTGCTTCAAAAATGGAACAAACTGGGCTACAAAGTTTTGCCTCATCCACCATATTCACCTGACCTCTTGTCAACAGATTTCCACTTCTTCAAGCATCTCAACAACTTTGCAGGGAAAATGCTTCCCCAACTAGTAGGATGTAGAAAATGCTTTTCAAGAGTTTGTTGAATCCCAAAGCATGGCTTTTTATGCACAAGGTATAAACAAACTTATTTTTTCATTGGCAAAAATGTGTTGATTGCAATGGTTCCTATTTTGATTAATAAAGATGTGTTTGAGCCTAGTTATAATGATTTAAAATTCAGGGTACAAAATCGCAATTACTTTTGCACCAACATAAATCATATTCATCTTCTTCCTTTAGTTTCTTCTTCCTACATTTTATCCTTTATATCACTGCTTTATCAATTTCTCCCAAATCACTTTCTTTGTGGTATTCCAATTCCCCAAAATTTAATTATTCCTCTTCCTACATGATATATTCTCAAAGCTTCCACCTTGGCATTTCAGGCCATCATACAATTTTGCCCTTAATTGTGTTTTGAATTGCTCTTCCAATTTATATTTCAATCCAAAAATATCTATTCTCATCTACAAAGTTTTCTTTTTCTTTACCTTCATTGTTTTGGTCGTGCAGTTTTTTCTAGGCTTTAAATTCATTCTTACTTTTGTATGCCTGCAAAGTATAAATTCTACTGATCCCATGAATTTCCCTCTAGGACACTATCCCATAATTATGTCTGTCTTCTGAATTCTGATAATATTATTACTGTAAATTTGTCACTTAATCTTTTTGGTGAATGTTATTTAACTATTCTTTTTTTATGTGTATAATTTTTCTATCTTAAAAAAGAATGTAAATGGTATAACTGCAAAGTTATTATGACACTTTTACCAACATATCATAATATTCATACAAATGGCTGTTGCCCTTTCAAGGAAATTACCCTTGGGAAACACAATACTTACTGAAATATAGTCATATTTCACAACATTATTAACACAACTCTTCAGGAATTCTTTCTGTATATTTCATAGTGATAAGTCTTTATCCTTTTACAGATTAATTTGATTTAAAAAATGGTAAACTTATTTGGATTTGAGTCTGCTGAATTGGTTGAGTGATACAGCTTGACATAAAATTCCCTTATTCTTTTATCCCTTTTGTCTCATTATCTTATTGTGTGATTACCAAACAATAAGACAGAATATTCTTTTATATATATTTATGTTGGATCTGGAAATGTATAAGGAGGGTTCTTCCAAAATATTTAATCTGCCAAAAGGATTAAATTTTATTTGGAAGATTAAATTTTATTTGGAAAATTCTTTTCTTTTTCCTTTCCTTTTCTTTTCTTTTCTTTTTCTCTGTTTCTTTCCTTTTTTTTTTTTTTTTTTTTTTTTTTGCCTGGGCTAGAGTACCATGCATAAGCCTAGCTCACGGCAACCTCAAACTCCCGGGCTCAAACAATCCTGCCTCAGTCTCCAGAGTAGCTGGATCTATAAGGCATGTGCCACTATGCCTGGTTAATTTCTTGTTTCTATATTTAGTTGCCCACCAAATTTTTTTCTATTTTTGGTAGAGACAGGGTCTGGCTTGTAAGACTAATAGTTTACAAGTCTTTCTCTTTTCTGAAAAAAAAAAATAACCAAATAATCAGATACATATAGATAAACAATTTACCGTTCCACACAGTCAGAAAGCCTGGAGCAATGGTTAGAGGCAGGGGCATCATGACCTCCTACAACATATAAAAATCCATTATATGTTGCAACTCCCACACCTCCACGTCTTTTGGACATTGGAGCACACAGACTCCACTTGTTAGTGTGTGGGTCAAAGTATTCCATTGATTTGAGGCAGGAACTTCCATCACGTCCACCAATAGCATATAACCTAGAAAACGAGAGAACTATGTGTATACATATACAAAGCTTGTACATGGAATGAAAGTGATAGAACTTTAAACAAACCATTTCAATTTCCTGAAGTTTCTGACCACAGAATTTATTCTCACACTATTTTGTAGCAAACAGCATGCTTGAGTTTGTGAATAGATAATTACCTGAGGGCACTTGTTAAGATCTACTTCCCCAAACCCAAACCTCCCTTCTTCTTTTCTCTCTCTCTCTATTTTTTTCCTTTTTTTTTAGAGACAGAGTCTTGCTTTGTCGCCCAGGCTTGGGGGTGGGGGGTTGCAGTGGCACAATCATAGCTCACTACAACCTCAAACTCCTGGGCTCAAGTGGTCCCCATGCCTCAGCCTCCCAAGTAGCTGGAACTACAGGCATGTGCCAACATGTTCAGCTATTTTTTTTTCTTTTTATGGAGATGGTGTCTCTCCATGTTGCCCTGGCTAGTGTTGAACTCCTGGCCTCAAAGTGATCCTCCCACCTTGGCCTCCCAACATTCTTATATTACATGTTTGAGCCACCATACCTGGCCAAATCTCCCTTCTTCATTATTTTTACCAAAGTAACTCTGACATAGCATATTGAAAGATCCCATGGGAAGTGAAGTAGAGAGAAAGGAGGAAAATATCAAAAGGGTTGGTAGCATGGTTCCAAACACCAACTCCAATAACTTTACAATTTTAACTAGGTCCAACTGCCTAGCATCAGAATTTATGTTGTTTTTATAAACTATTTTATTTAGTATAAAAATGATCACTAAGAAGGCACTAACTTAATAAACAACTAAGAAAATAGGATAGAACCTAGAAACTAAGTTATTCCTAGGAAGAGATATTGGCTATGACATTCTCTCATAAACTTTAAAATGCCAATTCTTTTGATGAACAATATTTTTAATCTAACTTAAATTTAATCCTGCATCAATAAAGACAAATATTTATTAAACTATATGTCTATAACTGCCCTTCATGCTGAGTTGCAAACTATAGTAACTCAGCAAAATAAAATTAAATGAGTCAAATTTGATGATTTTAGCCTGTTCTGTAATAGACAAGGGATTATGTTACTGAATCACCTGACATAATTCAGATCAGGCCAGAGAGAGTAAGATTTAGGAGTACCTCAAGCTCTAAGATTCTGTAAATCTGAATCTCCTCTTAACTCTAGATATTTCCTATTTCTTTCCACATAAGGAGCTAAAAAAAATCTGTGTTGAAATTTCAATTGAGCTTATTTCTCTGATGAGGTATTGGCTCTATGCATAGTTAGTATAGATACACAAGGCTGTCTCCTGCAACTGAACCATCCTATTGTCTGAAATTCTCATCATTCAAGTCCTGTCTCCATGCTGGTCATTGTCTCCAAAGGTCCTGTGTCAGAAAATACATAATTATCTGGTAAGAATTCAAGCTCTTGGAAACCTCTAGCATCATTAGGTTTTAGTATATTAACTTTCAAGTGATAGGAAAATGATCAAGAAGAAGTACATATTCAGGAAGGGCGAGACTACGTGGCATTCTATAGTTGGGAATCCTGAACATTCAAAAGAAGGATTGTTGAAAGAACAAAAAGACTAACCTTGTTACAAACACAGACAGACCAAAGTTTTGATAAGTCAAGAGTAAGTCATAATTTTAAAATGTGGTAGCCTCTTGAGGGTAAAATTAAAACTGGCATAACCCTACAAAAGTCCTTCTCGAATTTAATGTGCACTCAAGTCACCTCGAGATTTTGTTAAAATGAAGATTATGATTCAGGCAGTCTAGGAGAGTGCTAAGATTCAGAATTTCTAAATACACGTCAGGGAATGCAAATGCTGCCAGTCTTAGGATGACAATTTGATTAGTAACAGCCTATAGAACATTTGACCAAATATTTATTCTAGACAAGTATTTTCCACCATAGTGAAGAGAGGATACTAAAAAGGCCTTTAATTATTGATAACAAGTGTGTCCTGGTCATTTAGAATGCTTATTGATTGATGGATCATGTCACTGAAGTTCTGTACCACATGAACTGGGAGCAATGAGCATGTGTGTTTAGATTTACTCACTTGTTGTTTAATGCAACAACACCAACTGTGCTTCTAGGAGTTGACATACTGGCCACATAATTCCACTGGCGTCCCTCAGGGTCCCATCTTTCTACAGTATTTAGATAGCTCCATCCATCATGACCACCTACAGCATACATTGGTCCTTCAAGTGTGGCTACACCTAAAGGATGAAAATAGTATGAGGGCTCACCTAGGTATGCTACACAATGGATACTGTTTCACGTTGCAAGCAATTGGCTGCTTAAAATTTCCTGTTTTTTCTTAAGTGGTTTTGCATACATATGAATAATTTACTGATTCTGTTATAAAACAAAATATGGTTTTATAACCCTAAAAACATTCAGTCATAGTTACCATATCATGAAAGAGTATCATTGTTGTAACACTAAAGTCAGGGGAGGTAGTGAAATGCATCATTTCTCAGTTAGGTAATAGAAAAGAGAAGCTGCATTTTTCCAGCATAATTTCAATGCCATTTTTTGAATGTAAGGAGAGATATGATGTTGAATCTTAGATAAACCTTAGAATTGTAGGCTGACTGTGCTAGGTATTTATTACTCCTGATTTTTAATATAGGGATAAAAAATATTCCTGAAATGACTGACTAGACAGAATTTTTTAAAGGTTCAGTTAGAAGTTTGTTCTGTTAGCTATTTAAATAGCTCCTTTATACTTCTTATCTGCTTTGAGAATTCACATAATTGGCTTTTTCCCCACCTTCACCATCCCAATGAGACTCTCGGTATATATCACATTTTCTCTCATTTTACTAATATCAATTAGATTACAGAAAGCTTGCACTGATTTTTCTTTAGGACATGCTTTCTAAGCCTTGTGTAGTAATTACACTGACATAACTGAGCTGAATAATTATATAGTATATCATTTTGCAGAGAAAATGTATCAGGATAATTGGGAACAAACAATACCAGTCCTGGATCTGCCACTTTTTACCTGTCTAAAGGTGAATTCTTAAAAACAAAAGTCAATTTTTATGTTTTTCAACAAATTCGATGCTATTGAAAACCTATGGAGTCTAGCATTAAGAAAGAAGTATGCTGACAAGTATTCAGGAAAACCAAAGTTCCCCACTATGAGGACATGATTCATCCAACTAGAATGACAATGCCTCTCCATCACCAAGTACTCTTCTCTCTAAATGGAGCTTAGAAGAAAACTCCCTGTTGTAGTTTTATGTTCCTCAAAAATACATCCCTTCTAAAAGTTGCTATCCTTTCTAAAATGGAACCCTTTTAAAATACTGATGGAAGGGAGGCAGGACTAACAAGTATAACAAAAGCAACAAGAAAAAAGTTTCAAAGCCTTTTAACATTTGCTTAAGCTTTTCACTATTTTGGAAATATTTTGACTAAAAGTTTGGTTAAATCTCAGTAATGTGAGGCTAGATTTAAGTTTTAAAAAGCTGTACTAACTACATATTCTTAGCTCTTACCTAAGCCATGCCGATGTGTTGACATGGGAGGCATCACAGTCCAGATTTTGCCAACTGGATTAAAGCATTCCACAGTATTCAAAGTTTGTAAACCGTCTCTTCCTCCTACGACATAGAGCTTATTATCAATAACTGCAACTCCAAACTGAAGCCTACGGCCATTCATGGTGCCAATGTGTAGCCAACTGTCAGTCCTGAGGTCATATTTTTCAATTGTAGTAGTACCTGTCAAAGGGAAATTGAATAATGGTAAAAACAACAACAACAAAAACAACAACAACAAAAAAAAAACTTATTAAAATTTTGAATTGGCACCATTAACATTATATTTATGTACCCATAACTTACAGCACAGTATCAGTGACTGCAACTCAAATTAAGCAAGTGGCCCAGATGATTCTACAACCTGGGAGATAAGGAAAAGGGTAAGATTTTACCACTTCTGGATCCAAATGAAAGAACCAGAAAAAAAAAGTTTATTTAATATCTATGGTGTATACCCTCATAAATCTTTCTTAGGTTTATATGATGCTATTGGTAGTGCTAACACAGATGTCAAACATCATGCTTCACAACAACAGCAAAAATACCTTAGTTTTTGTTATTGAATGTTTATACATCTGTTACAGCTTTAATTATTTATGACCATTCAATATACTAATTTATGTTCTTTTATTTTTTCAGTTTGGTGTGTGTACAAGTTTGTGTGTGTGTGTGTGTGTGCGTGCACATGTGTGTATGTTTATTTAAAAGACAAATGACTAAAGGATCAAAAATGAAAATTCCTTTTAAATGGGCCTTTGGTGTTTATTTACACAATGTTCTATGATGGTAACACAAATGATTATAGTTACGAATATAGAATTATGTGGTATTACTTCCTTTAAATATTAATAAAATTTCATTTTTCTACTTAATTACTGAAATACTTAGCTTATCACCATAGTATACTTTCACTTCTGCCATAGTAAAATGTCACTACTGTCATAATTATTGTCACTTCATTTGGCAATACTTCTCAATATTCATTCATAATAGCTGCTGCTACTTTTTAGTAAAAGCTAATTTTGTACAGCAGGAAGCTTCTAACAACCAAGGTGGAAAATGGCAGAATTATTATTAACACCTATAGACAAGATAAGTTGTCATGTACCTAAGACAACTTGTGGCAAGTTTATGGAATTTCATTTGGTTAAAAAACTCAACCACAGGAATAAGCAAAAACATTTTCCAGATGTTTTGTTACTGAGAGATTTGTGAAAAAAAATTGTAATCCATTGATTATAATGAAGATAGAGTTAACATTGGAACAATATCCACTGGCAGTTACATGGCTATGGTATGGGGTCATAACAAGCCAATATATATTATATATATATATATTATATTATATATATATATTATATATATTATATCTATGGCCACTTCTGAAACTTGTCTTGAGTCAGATTGGACTAATGAAAACAGTATGTTTCATTCCTCTAATTTTAAATATTTCCTTGTGAATAGTGTACTATAAGTATTTATGTCTCAATATTTTGGATTTTCACAATAAAAAATTATAAATATACAGACACTGACTTGTTCTCTTTATTTGTTGCATCTTTCACTAATAATGTGGATTTGACTGAATGCTGAATTACAGATCAGCAATTGCTCTATTGACTACATTTACAGCTGAGAGGTCAAAATACAGCACCTATCAATTTCTTGTCTACAGTAAATATCTTTGGACAATACTGTCAAAACCGGAATATCTACAAACAAGCATCTACTTTCACTCTGTTTGCTTTCAACTAGATTTTTCTGAATGCTTTCATATTTTTCCATTTCTTCATTTAAATGTTCCCAATCTGTCTTCCTATCAGCTTCCTAACTTTTTACCTTTCTTTTCATTAGTGGAATTTATCAAGGAGACAATTTAGATTAAGAAATGAAAGCTAGGCTGCACTAATTATTAAGATTGTGATTTTCTCTCTCTCTCTCTCTCTCTCTCTCTCTCTCTTTTTTTTCTTTTTTGTTGTGTCCTTTCCTGGCTTTGATATCAAGGTGATACTGGCTTCATAGAATGAGTTAGGAGGATACCATCCTTCTCAATGTTGTGGAATAACTTCTGTAGTATAGGTATAAGTTCATCTTTGTATGTTTGGTAAAACTCTGAAGTGTAGCCATCTGGTCCGGAACTTTTCCGTTTGGGGAGGTTGTTAATTACTGCTCCAATTTCTGCACTTGAGATTGGTCTATTTAAGAATTCTGTTACCTCCTGGGTGAACTTAGGGAGGTTGTATGAATCCAGGAATTTCTCTATTTCTTCCTCATTATGTAGTTTTTGGGCATATAGTTTTCTACAGTAGTCAAACATCATGTTTTGTATTCCTGTGGTATCTGTGGTGACCTCTCCTTTTTAATTTCTTATTGAGTTTATTAGAGTCCTTTCCCTTTGAGTTCTTTTGTCAGTCTAGCAAGAGGACTATCAATTTTGTTTATCTTTTCAAAAAACCAGAGTCTGGTATTGTTGATCTTCCGTATAAATCTCTTTTTCTCCATTTCATTTAGTTCTGCTTTGATCTTAGTTATTTCTTTTCTTCTACTAGGATTGGAATTTGTTTGCTCTTCTATTTCCAATTCCTTGAGTCTATTCATTAGGTTGTCAGTATCTAATCTTTCTGTATTTTTGGATGTGAGCATTTATTGCTATTAGTTTTCCTCTTAGGTATGCTTTTGCTGTACCCCACAGGTTTTGGCAACATGTGGCTCCATTGTCATTTTGTTTGAAGAAACTCTTGATTTCCCTCTGAATTTCATCCTTGACCCAATAATTCTTCAATAATAGATTGTTCAGTTTCCATGACTTTGTGAAGCGTTGAGTGTTTCTATAGGAATTGATCTCTTGTTTTATACCACTATGGTCAGAGAAAACACATGGTATAATTTCTATTTTCTTGAATTTTTTGAGATCTGATTCGCAGACTAGTATGTGATCAATTTTGGAGAAGGATGGATGGGCAGGTGAGAAGAATGTAAATAAAACTTCATTTGGGTGGAATGTTCTGTAGTGATCTGTCAGACCCATTTGATCAAGAGCTTTGTTTAAGCCCACTATTTCTTTGCTTATTTTCAGTTTGGATGATCTATCCAGTCCATTCAGTGGAGTGTTGAAGTCCCCTGCTACTATGGCAGTATTGTTTACCAGTCTCTTTAGATCATACAAGTTTTGCTTTAGGTAACTGGGTGCTACTGAAATGGGTGCATAAATATTAAGAACTGTTAAATCTTATTGTTGGATCTTCTCTGTCACCATTATAAAGTGGCTGTTCTTTATCCTTTTTTTTACTTTTACTATTTTAAAGCTTATGTCATCTGCAAATAGTATAGCTACCCCTGCTTTCTTTTGACTTCCGTTTGCCTGGATGATCATTTTACATCCTTTGTCCTTCAGCTGGAAGGCATCTTTGTGGGTTAGATGTGTTTCCTGTACACAGAAGATACTAGGCTTGTGGATTTTTATCCCCTCTGCCAGTCTATGCCTTTTAAGAGGACAGTTTAAACCATTTACATTTATTGAAAGGATTGGAATTGGAGGAAGATTTCTATTTATATTGTTGGGTGAAGTCTTGTTGTTTTGACTTGCTCCTTTAGCCATCATGCAGTTCAAGTTATAGCCTTTAATTATTTAAAGATTTTACTTTGAAGAGTGTCTATTGCCCTGTTTAATGTGGAAGGCAGATATGAGAACTTCCTGTAAGGCTGGTCTGGTCTTTGAAAATTCCTTCAGTGATTGCTTGTCCGAGAAGGACTTTATTTCTCCCTCATAGATGAAAGTTAATTTTGTCAGATAAAGAATTCTAGGTTGGGCTTTATTCTGTTTTAGAAGATTAAGGATAGGCACCCAATCCACCCTGGCTTGTAAGATTTCAGAGGAGAAGTCTGCTGTTAGTCTGATAGGCTTTCCTTTGTAGGTCATTTGCTGCTGTCATCTCACTGAATGGAGGATTGTTTCTTTCATGTTTACTTTAGTCCACCTAATAACCACGTGATGAGTTGATTGCCTTTTCATGTTGAGTCTCCCAGGAGTTCTGTGTGCTTCTTGTATTTGGATAACAAAATTTCTAGCCAGACCTAGCATATTTTCCTCCAGTATTCCGTGAAATAAGTTTTCTAGCCCTTGTGAATGTTCCTCTTCCCCTCCCAGAATCCCAATCATGTGGAGAGACAGGAACACTCTTACACTGCTGGGGGGACTGCAAATTAGTGCAACTTTTGTGGAAAAGAATTTGGAGATATCTCAAAGAGCAAAAATATAAATACCATTCAACCCAGCTATAACATTATTAGGAATCTACGCAACAGAGCATAAGACATTCTATTATAAACACATCTGCACCTGAATGTTTATGGTATTACAATTCACTATTGCAAGGACGTGGAAACAACCCAAGTGCCTGTCAATACATGAGTGGATTATTAAAATTTGGTATATGTTTACAATGGAATGTTACTCAATTTTAAGAAATGATAGCAAGCTAGCACCGGTTATATTATCCTGGATTGAGCTTAAGCCCATTATCCAAAGTAAGGTGACACAAGATCAGAATAATGGGCTCCACATATACTCACCATCAAATTGGTACTGACTGATTAACACTATGGTGCTCAAAGGGTGGTGGTATTCACCAGGGATTCAGGGGTTGGAGGGGTAGTCCCACATCTGAGGGATGTGGTGAACATTGTGGAGGGGAAGAGCATACCTCTAACTCTTGCTAGGGAGAGGCAGAGTTATAAAATGTAACCAAAATGTTAAGAAAAAAAAGAAAAGCAAACATTTGTCCAGTGTGGGACAGGTGGGAGGGGGGAGGAGGGGATAGGTATATACATACATAGTGAATGTGATGCACATCATCTGGGGGATGGACATGCTTGAAACTCTGACTCGAGGGGGTGGGGAGACAAGGGCAATGTATGTAACCTTAATGTTTGTACCCCCATAATTTGCTCAAATAAAAATAAGAAAAGAGAATAAATAAATAAATAAATAAATAAATAAATAAATAAATAAATAAAAGTGGAATGGAATAAAAAAAAAGATTGTGGAAATATTAATAGTGAAGTAATGAGTCAGGAAATTGTAAAAAGCTACATTAATTATTTGTATATAGAAATTTACACAGAGAGATATAAACCTATGCTTTATGTCAGGTTAATTTGTTCCAGGAATTAGATTAAATATAGAAGATAAAATTATCCCATACGTTTTGTTTGCAACCATGAACATTTATGACTGCTAGGTCTGAATCTTGAATTCTGAATACATCTTTTGTATTCAGACCTTTTGTCCACCCCCACCAATGCTCATACTAATCAAAATATAAATCCCCTACCTGGATTACTATGGCAACTCTATATTTGATGGAAAAACATAAATTATACTTTTTCACTAATGTCTTTCTTTAGAAATTTTCCCTACAAATCAACCTTCTGCCCTAGAATGTTGCAAATATTGTTTCTCAATTCATTGCTAAGCTTCTCTCCAATCCTCATTTATGCTCTGTTCAAGAGTGAACAAAATCTGCCAAACTTTGTAGTGTTGATGGGAACACTGTAGTTCCTGCTGGAGTGAATATATCTGATTTATTGATTTCCTCCACCTATTATTAAATTGTTCTAAAAGTGAATATACTAACATTCACTTTGTCTCCTGCCACACTGTCTTTCAGAATTCATTGTTTTTAATAAAAGTTACCAGGTACCTTATATGTACAAGACATCCTGTTAGGTAGTTAGCAAGGTATTCTGGATCTTCTGGACAAAAGTTTTGCCTTGCCTTGGTGAAATTGCCCTACCTAGGAAGATGGACAAGGGTAGCCCCCAGGGCCCCATCTTGATCCCTCCCCACCTTAATACTTCCCTGAGCTACTGCCAAACCTGGGGGAAGAGGGAATACCTTACGAATCTGCCAATTATAACTTGGAGCACCAGCTGCAAAAGAATGCAGATGACTCTCTAGTCAATAAGCCAAACAGCACAGGTACCATAGAATCCAGAAATTGACCTAGAACAACCCCCATGTGTAGTAAGACTCAGGTCATGCAACTCCCAACTGTCCAATCAAAGTGGTTCCATAGTGATATCTGAGCCACAGGGAAGTCCCGATCTGAGCACTATGAAACAAAATTGAGACCATAACCAACACCTTTTGTGCCTTCCTTTTGCTCTCTCTTGGCTGTGACATTAGGTCCAGTCATCATCCATGGCATATGTTACACTCTGTAAACACGCATCTTGCTCTTGCTCTATAATCGTCTTTCTCTGTCCTCAATAAACTTCATTTTCATGTTTTCCTTACTTTGGTATCTGGTCATTCTTTGGACATGAGCATGCTAAGAACTGACATTTAAGATTGAAACCTCACAATTCAAAGTTTTACCATGTTATTTTTAAATTTTTACTCTGTGATGATACTTAGAACATCCTGTTGATTATTATTTTTTTTAATTTCAGAATATTATGGGAATACAAACATTTTGATTACATGTAATGCTTTTGCCTTGCACAAGCCAGGGCTACCAGAGTGCCCTTCCCCCATACAGTGTGTTTCACATCCACTGGTTGTGAGTTTACCCACCCTCACTACCCCTCTCCCACCTGACCAGCACCCATTGAATATTGCTACCTACCATGTGAGCACCTTAGTGTTGATCAGTTAGTACCAATTTGATGGTGACTACATGTGGTGTATGTTTTTCCATTCTTGTGATACCTCACTTTGAAGGATGGGTTCAAGCTCTATCCAGGATAATATAAGAGGTGCTAGATCACTATTGTTTTTGTAGTTGAGTAGTATTCCATGGTATACATATATCACATTTTATTAATCCATACATGTATTGATGGACACTAGGATTGTTTCCACATCTTTTCAGTTGTGAATTGTGCTGCCATAAACATTTAAGTGCAGATGTCTTTATTATAGAATGTCTTGTTTTCCTTTGGGTAGATGCCTAGTAATGGGATTGCTGGGTCAAATGGTATTTATATTTTTAGCTCTTTGAGATATTTCCAAATTTATACATCCTAGTAGTTATAGTTAACCTCAGCCATTTGTATGATATCTATATTTAACAACTAATTTTGAGTTTATTGTATGACTCAGAGAGGAAAAGAGAGACTGAGGAAGTACTGTAATTTCCTAGACATCAAAAGGTGAAAGTACAAAAGGTGTCTTTAAAAAAATAGCTGAAAAAACACACTATAAGAAAAGGTATGTGTATAGAAATTATTTTTATAGTCTTTTGAAACAATGTGAATTGGTACATTTTTTTCAATGCAATACTGATTTAGACAGATAAATGCTACCCCTTTAAAATATTTACTATACTTCTTAGTTTTTTTCTTTCTTTTCTTTTTTTTTTTTTTGATATTAAGTCATCACCCTGATTTTTCAGTATATTTGAAGACTCCTCAAAGATAGGAGACAGTTTTGTTGTGTTCTCTTCTGGAATAGTGGCAGTTTAGAAAAGGAAACATAGAATGTGAATAGAAATTCTACTTCCAGCCTTTCTAGATGTTTTTCCTTGGATTGGCTAGCTAACCTTAAGGTGTGCAAAGTGAAGGTAATAAACCTATCTTATAACATTATTGTGAGGATTAAAAATGATCTATGAGAAATGACAATTAAGAATTAGGCACTCAAAATGATATTTTTTACTTTTCTAATAGTCTGCAACTTCCCATAGAACCTTTCCTAGTGTCTCCATATATTAGAAACTCAAAGTGTCTCAAAATGATTGTCTCACTTCCTTCCATACTAAACTGTGGTAATAGAATTCAGGGATTATAGGTTCACATTTCTCTCAATTTTAGAAACTAATAAGAAATTTTGGATACTTACAATGATTTTTAAACCCATTATTTTATGTAATGTTAATTTACATAAAATGAGCCTGAAAAAATGACAAAAATGGAAAACAAACATGAGGACCAAACAAATAAACACAAAATTTTGTATTTCTCAAATTGAAGATTAGGCTTTTTAAAAACTCAGACACTAAAGATAACTACACTTGGAGTTTTTGTTTAGTTCCCTTATAACTTAAAAATTTAAATACAAAGCAAGAAACCTTCTAACGTGTTATGAATATTCATTTTATTCAACAAAATGCAATAAAGTATCAATTTGCCAGACTTCAAATTAATTATAGGGTCCCACTGTACTTGTTATTTTCTGAAGAACACTAGTTTTGTGAAGTAATCCTGCAACTTTGGAAATAACTGCATTTGCAATCTCCTGTTTTATAGGCTTATGATGAATTAGCATATTTCCCATATACTCTTCCAATTTTCACTTATACATATCAAAGGAAAGAATAAGCTTCCATTATTAGAAAACTTTGACGTTTGCATCATTTTCTATAAGGTGTCATATTACATTTCTATGTATGATTTACCAATACACTTACCTTTAAGTGCATTGATTTTATTTTCTACAAAGCCAATTTTTAATAATAAAATATCTTCCTTACTGTCTTAGCAACACGAATTCACAGACTGAGAAATCACCTTTAAAAGGTAGAACTATAGAGAATTCGGTACTAAGAAGGATTCAGGGTAGGGATAATGGCTTTGGAAACTGTTTCCTATCCATTTGATGAAATTCTTATTTAAAGTCACTATTTTATTTCAGGTTTGAATTTTTGCTAATCTTGTTATTGATACTTCAAGATTGTATGTAAATCATCTTTGAACATCTGACAGGAAATTGGCAGAGGGAGTTATAGGCCACTCCTCAGTTTCTGTCAAAATCAAATTTGAAGGACTTCATCTCTTCCCTTTATGATAAATATTCAATAAGATTTTCCTGATACGATTTAATATTGCAAAGAAAATATTACAATTTTAAAAATCACTTATATAATCACTTATATAATCACTTATATAAACATCACATATATATATAAAGCAAAAGTCTTTATTAAGGGTTTAACCAATACAAATTAAAGGGTTATGTATCATAAAGTAAGAAGAAAAATAAGGTAAAAAAATCACATAAAGTACCCTGCTTATGAAATTAGCTTTAGATTGACTCATTTAGCATGGTTTTACTACCACCCTCATAATTTGGAGGGTTTTGAGATTAAATATTTTTTTAAATGAAGACACTTTCTAAATTAATTAATTTATTCTTTTTACCTTTCATAGCATCCATTCCTCCCACAGCATAAAGTGCCCCCACAGTTGATTTTCTAGGCTTTGTCCGAGGGCTTTGCATCATGGGTCTTCTCTCAGGTAAGAGATGATACTTCATAGCTTCAATCAGGAGCTTCTGACACTCAAGATCACCAGCAAACATAGAACTGTTTTCAAGATCTGCCAGTAACTAAAAAGTAATGAAGCATGGCATGAATGAAGAGTTAACCATTATAAATAGCATTTTTATTTATATAACTTTGGAGAAAACTGGATCTAATCCAAATGTAAGCATTTTATTATTTAATATTTTAAGTTACTTACTAAGATATTTTTATATTCACTTATCATGTAAAGTAACTAAAAGCCTTATAGTAGTATCTAATTATTTATGTGGACTTATTTAATTGACATATTATTAATCTTTTGAATATGTACCTATATAATCTGAAGAGAGAGTGAAAACGCACTCATACAAAGTATTACTGAAATCAGTCAAAAAGAATGGCTATGTCTGCACAGAGCAAGCATCTCCTATTCTACTACATGTAGCTAATTCAAATAGGGAGCTTTTTGGTGGATTTGGGATGGTGCTGGTGGTGGTGGTCATGTAAACACGCCTAGTTAAAATAATGTAACACAAAGGGAATGGCATCTTTATTATCAATCATTTCTGTAGAATATTCTGAAAGCAGGTGCTTTTTAACTGGGTTAAGGTATAAATGTTAGTAACTAGCCAACATATTAGCATAAATAGATGATCAATTATTTTTAACTATTATTATCTGGGGGACAGTAACACTCTAAATGTCTTTGATAAAAGCTAAGTAGAGGGAATAAAAATGGCTGAGTAACGTTATCCTCCTGGATTCCTGCTCCCAGAGAAAGAGGTATAGATCTCGGTCTGCTACACATGACGGGATCACTCCCCTACAAGAAGATCATTGTGAATTGGCAGAGAATCAGCATGGGACACACAAAACAGGGAGAAAAAAAGATGAACATGGGTCAGGATCACAAACTCTGGAGTGTGAAACAAACAATAGAGAATAGAATGTGGGACGACTCCGCCTGCCAGGCCAGTGAGTGAAGTGGGATCAGACCCACAGGAGATCTTCTTGCTTCCCCACTGACCTCCACACCCACTCAGATAGGGATTTGCCTGAAGTCGGTGCAAAATTGCAGCAGGAGGCGTGGTGTTCTGTGGAAAGGAGACAATAGCAGGAAGCATCTTGAACTCCCTGGAGCTCTGTGCCAGGACTGCACTAGGTGAGGGAGGGACCTGGTCTGAGCTACTGTTGTTGTTGGTTAAGAGATAGGTAACTTGCCTCTGGCATCCAGTGGGTCCATACCAACAGAGGTGATCACCAAGTAGGGGACTGTTACCTGGAAACCACTGTGGGCAAATAGGCCCACTCAGGGTGGGGCAGTAAGAGAGAGAGCTCCTGCTGCACAGGTGAGAGATGTGGGAGGGTGACATAAAAGAGACAATGGGGCATCCTGATGACTCAGCTCCCCAATCCTACACCTGCCAACTCCTGAACAGTCACTCAAAGTGGTAGCACTCTCTGGGTGGGTGGTTGCCATTGTTGGAGTCCACAACCCAGCCACTGCAGTATGATATGGTGTGTCAGGCTGCTCCTTTTCCCCAGCTCCGGGACTCTCTTGACAAGCTCCACCCTTACATGACCTATGATCAACTGACCAGGCCTGTGTTGATGGATGAATTCTGAACACCTCCCTAGTCATTAAGAGGCTAATGCCTGCATGACTCACAGGCGCTGGGGCACCGAGCAGACTGGGGAACCACCCACTCCCCATAGCCAGCATCTTTCATACCAAAAGCAGTAGGCTCCCTGGAGGTAGGGTGAGAGAAGAAAAGCCACTTTCCCCCTGCAACTTGTGTGGATCTGCTGGGCCTTGGTACAGATCAATAGCTGACAGCCCAGTGACTTTGCTCTTCTGATCTGTTTAGGTCCCCCAGTAGGATCATAATGCTGGGGCTGGATCTCCACCTCCAGTTAGCTGCCAACAGTGAGGTCCATGGTAAGGCAAAATAATCCCCACAAGAGGACACAATAGGCTCCCCAAGTTACCCCTCCCATCAGGAGTGGATTCCCAGATATGCCAGAAGAACCTTGAACAACATAAGAGTGACTCCCCCCAGCGGCAGATCAAGCAACCATAGAAGTACACACATCCAGGCTGGTAGGCAGCAGCCACGATCTGCCTTGCTCCTATAGCACTAATAGGAACAAAGGCTACACAGGGCCTGTTACTTCCCAAATGAAAACTGAAAGATAGGAAGCAACGGCTGAACCAGATAGGAAGGGATCAGTGAAAGAACTGGAAGTAGAAAGAATAAAAAGGAAAGCACACACTTAAAGAGGAACAGCAGCTCTCGAGCAATGGACATTAACCAAATTCAGAACACTAAAATGACAGAGGAAGAATTTCAAACATAGATTGTAAGAAAACTCAATGATATGCAAGAAAAAATGGATAACCAACACAAAGAAACCACAAAAAAATCTACTATTTGGAAGAAAAATTAATTAAAGAAATTGAAATATTAAAGAAAAATCAAACCAAACTCCTGGAAATGAAGAATATATTCAGGGAGCTACAAAACACAGTGGAAAGCCTCAAGAACAGGGTAGACCAACAGAAGAAAGAATCTCAGAGCTTGAAGATAACATCTTACAATTAAATAAGTCAGTCACAGAGATAGAGTAGAGAAATAAGAGAAAAGAGCAAAGCTTACAAGAAATGTGGGATTATGTGAAGAAACCTCACTTGAGGGTTTTGAGGATTCCCCATGGGGAAGAAGAAAACACACAGGAGTTGGATAAGCTATGTGAAGATATAATAGAGGAAAATTTCCCGGGCCTTGAAAAAATCTAGATATCCAAGTACAAGAAGTTCAAAGAACCTCTGGGAGAGTCAATGCCAACAGGAAGACACCATGACAGGTAGTCATCAGACCGACCGAAATATCAACTAAAGAGACCCTTCTATGAGCCGTAGGTGCAAGTAACATATAAAGGAAAACTAATCTGAATAATGCCAGATTTCTCAACTGAAATCTTACAAGCAAAGAGAGACTGGGGCCCTATTCTCACTCTACTTAAACAGAATAATGCCCAGTCTAGAATCTTGTACCCTGAAAAACTAAGTTTTGTATACAAAGGGGAAATAATGACATTCTCAGCTAAGCAAAGACTGATGGAATTCACCAAGACAAGACCAGCCCTCCAAAAAGTACTCAAAACAGTGTTACCCACAGATCAGCACAATAAACACTCACGAATATAAAACCACTCAAAAGCTAAAGATTAAACGCTAGATACCAAAATGGCTCAAGAGATAAAACAAAGCAACAAAGTTTAACCCAACAGGATGAACAGAAATTTGCCCCACGTATCAGTTCTCTAAATAAATGTGAATGGCTTAAACTCCCCACTCAAGAAACACAGGCTGGCTAATGGATAAAAAGATACAAGCCAAGTATCTGCTGCCTTCAGGAAACACATCTAACCTGCAAGGATGCAGTTAGACTAAAGGTAAAGGGGTGGACAACAATATTTCAAGCAAACATAAGCCAAAGCGTGGCTGGTGAGGCAGTTTCACTTAGTTTTTAAACTAACAAAAGTAATGAAAGACAAAGAGGGTCATTATATCATGGTAAAGGGTACAATTCAACAAGAAGACATAACAATTTTAGATATGTATGCACCCTACTTAGGTGCACCCATATTCATAAATCAAACTCTACTTGATCTAAACAAAGTGATAAACAGCAAATCCATAATAGCTGTATATTTCAACACCCTGCTGACAGCACAGGACAGATCCTTCAAACAGAAAGTTAATAAAGAAATAATGGATGTAAACAAAATTCTAGAACAATTGTGCCTGACTGACATTTATAGGACATTCTACCAAAAAAACACTGAATATACATTCTTCTCATCAGCTTATGGGACATTCTCTAAGATTGACCATATCCTAGGACACAAAGCATGTCTCAAAAAATTTTTAAAAAATAGAAATTATACCATGTATCTTCTCAGATCACAGTAGAATAAAAGTAGAAATCAACCCTAATAGAAACTCTCATTTTTATACAAAATTGTGGAAATCGAATAACCTTCTGCTGAACAATTACTTTATAAACTAGGAAATTAATATGGAAATCAAAAAATTGTTTGAACTAAATGACAAAGGAGACACAAGTTATCAAACACTGGTACACAGCTAAAGCAGTCCTGAGAGGAAAGTTTATTTCCAAAAGTGCCTATATCCAAAAGACAGAAGGTCACAAATACACAATCTAATGAATCTAGTCAAAGAGCTGGAAAAAGAATAGAGAGCCCTCAAACTCAGCAGAAGTGAAATTAACAAGATAAAATCAGAACTAAATGAAATTGACAAAAGGAAAACTATACATAAGATTAATAAAACAAAAAATTGGTCCTTTAAAAAAATAAACACAATTGACACACCTTTGGCTAGACTAACGAAAAGCAGAAAAGAGAAATCTCTAATAAGCTCCATAAGGAACAATAAAGGAGAAATTACAATGGATGCCATGGAGATACAAGATATAATTTATGAATACTACAAAAACCTCTATGCACACAAACTGGTAAATATGAAGGAAATGGACAAATTTTTAGAAACACAGCCTCCATAGGCTCAACCAGGAAGAAATTGAATTCCTGAACATACTAATATCAAGTGCTGAAATTGAAACAGAAATAAATCCTTTCTAAAGAGAAAAGTCCCAGACAGATGGTTTCACACCCAAATTTTAACACACCTACAAAGAAGAACTGGTGCCTATACTGCAGAAATTATTACACAACATCCTAAAGCATGGGACCCTACCCATTTCATTTTATGAAGCCAAAATCACTCTGATACCAAAACCAGGAAAGGATGCAACAAAGGAAGAAAACTATAGAACAATATCCGTTATGAACACAGTTGCAAAAATTCTCGACAAAATCCTAGCTAACCAAATCCAGGTGCTTATCAAGAAAATAATCCATCACGACCAAGTGGGCTTCATCCCAGAGATGCAGGGATGGTTCAACATACACAAACCTACAAAGTAATTCACCACATAAACAGAACCAAAAAAAAGACCATATGATCTTTCAATAGATGTAGAAAAAGCATTTGACA